CCGGGAAAAAGCAAAATTGTTTCAGATTTCCAATTTGCTTTTTCCCAACCCGGGAAAAAGCAATCGAAGTCTGAAGAGCAATTGTTCTTGCAGCGTGGCCAGGTCACCAACATGACTTGCGCAGACCTTTCGCAGGACCTTCGCGAACCTTTCGCGACTGCAGTGAGAGCACACTCGAAATCAGCCTTTGAAATTCGATCACTAACAAGGAAGAGGTGGGTTTTTGAACGACGCTCTAATGCTCATCATGGGTTGAGGATCTCTTCAATTGGAATACCCCAGCTAGACTACCAGCTAGCCATGTACTAGCTGAATGCAAGCAATGTCAAGCAGTCAGTCGGGTACCATGACACACATTCTAGTTCCTCGACATGCAATCGGACAAATCCATGAATCTGCCACGCCAACTTGCGAATGCATGTGCAACTCAAATACCTTGTAGATCCTTACAGTATATAACATTGCCTATAGGAGGTTTGCACAAGTTTGCACTACATGAAGCTTCGGAACATTTCTCAGTCGGGTTGCTCATTGGACTTGAAGTCAGAGAGTCGCACGATGATCCTCTTGGGATACACAGAGGCCGCCAAGGTGGCGACGCCCTCGGCGATCTTCTTCACGTAGAAATCCTCTTTGGCAACGGAAAACGTGATGAGTGACGGCCATGCAAACCGGACTTGGGGGACCAAGGGGCTCTGTTCATAGCCGGGGTGGATGAGGAATGATGAGGATGGATGAGGATGCGGTGATGGGATGGCTGGTGAATTGTAGGGTTTCGGGGCTTCCAATTTGGTAAGTGTAGCAGTACCGATCACGTACAGCAAGCATAATGATTTGGACGTCCAAGGCAAACGACAATCCGTCGATCCACTGGATCATTGTGTCTCAACGGCTGGTTGGGAATCTGATAAACGCAGGGTAGGTCAATTAGGTCATCAAAAACTGAAAAGAAGCAGTTGAAAACCAAACAATGCAACTATAAGTAATATCCAAATCAGCGATTGGTCTACTAAAAAACCCAGCCAAGCCACACCCTGGGATGTGCTGCGGCGAACAAGATTGAAGCACTGATTACTACACCAAAGGCCCTCGGAATATCCATGAAAGTGTGAGAGAACTGAGCCTTGTGCACCAAATCCGTGCCTTTATAGAAAAACTCCCTGAAAAAAAAAACATCCTTTTCTGCGGCTTTTGGTTTCCGCCTCAGTGGCCTCCGGCTCGAAGCTCGCTCCTTGGGGCCTTTGTAGCCCTTCATCCGCTCATCAACGAGCTCTTTGGTCTCACCGTCCAACGTGTCGTAGTTCAGGAGAGCCTGAAGTGACCGACCGTTCCGTTCCGTTCCTTTCTTTTTCGGTTTGGCGGTTGGAGCTCATGACCAAACGGAGCTGTGAGCTGGGTCATCATGGGTCGACGGTCATTTAGCAGGTGGGCGGACAAGGATCAAGAAACATTGTTGTAAGAGTGTAAGACTACAAAAGGCATCCAGAATATGACGCCAGTACCCTGATGTACCCTGCGACAGGTCTGACCGACAGCTTGCTGGGGTTCAAAATGACCGATACTAAACGCATGTTTGTGTCAACTCTCAACCCAAGGCATGCGGGGACAGCTCCTGATGCAAGAGCTTGTGCAATTTCATTTCACACTGACGACATTCGAAGGAACGTCTGGTCTCTCAATAGCGAATCCTTTTCACGACTCCAAAGGTGAGTAACTGCAGGCTCTTGGGGTCTGCTCTTAATGCAATTCCGTCGGCTTGCCCAAATCAGTTCCGGAACTGCCCGGTCGGCTTGGAAAGCACCGGCCGAGACAAACGGACCGGCGACCAACGCCTTTGGGTGCACTCCAATGGCATTGTTGATGACCTGAACGCTCCAGCAACATCAGCATCACGGTTAAGGAGTGTGGATGATAGGGATGTTACCACTCAAAAAAATGATCCAAGATGGAAAAGCCAGTTTAGTGCGATTGGGAAGTAGAGTGACCTGCGGAGGAAGTCTCATTTATCAAGCATTCCCATAAACTGTCAAGCATCGGAACTCAAACAAGTGGAGCTGTTTGTCATGCCGAATCGCGCAAACCAATGAATGGACTAGCCATGAACCCTTGTGGATCCTTTAGACATCTTTGACATCTTTGAGCTATAAATTCCAGATCTAAGTCCAATCCTTTGTCCTTCACAAGCGCTCCTACCTACCGTTGATGGACCCAATCCTGCCCCAAGAACCCCCATGAAGAACCATCGAACACCATTCCTATAGTCTCCAGCCAAAACCTGATCCAAGGGAGTCCCTGCTCCGTGTGTCACGCTGAGCGTTCCGGCGAACTCCAGGCGTGCCAGGCCAATGCCCTCGTTGGGCAGCTGGCCGAAGGCGAAGGCGGTCTCCGGGTTGCCCACGTTCATCATGATCCTCAAATTGCTGCTTTTTGGCTTTCTTGGCACATGGCAAGGCCTTGGGGTAGGGCCTTGGGGTAGGAGAAGCTCTGATCCATATATGCAGATGTATATTTCAAAATGGAGACCCCCTTTCTCGGCCCTGGCTGGGTAGACGAGTCTATTTTCCGAACCTTCCAGTGGTCCAGGGTGTTATTGGGGGTCGGTCTCCCTATTTTAAGCCACACCCAGCCCTTTCGTTGGTAACAACTCGTCGGGCAAAACGGAATCATTTGCAAGTTCTGTGTAGTGCTGCATGGACTAACTTGCTTAGGTCTGTTGATGGTTGAAATCAGAGAGGTTCCTTGAGCCAGGAAGAAGAAAGAATAGAGCGAACATGAGACAACCGGAAGTTTTTAAAGCTGAACCATTGCCTTACCAAAGTCTGCTGAATGACCGATGCTGTCAAATCTGAGACAAATCATCCCTTTGCGAGTGAGCCAAGCATCTTCAGACCAACCTCTGGAAGCTCTCCGAGATCTTGAACATTCTTCCTGGGATTCATTCCGGTATACTCTCGATTGTTTGCCTCTTGCACAAGAATGAACAACTCACAACGAGATCGTATCATTTATGAGCTCACTTTGATCGAAGCATTTCAAATGCTCATCATGAGCACATACTGAATTCCTTGATGACATATCTTATGGTCAAAAACCTGTGCTCCCCAAAAGTTGGAACTAGATTGGGGGCAGGGCTCAAAACAATTGAGTATTTGGACCTCAATTGACTGAATGAGCCCAACTGGTCAGAGGGTTGATAATCTGTTCCTCCTTCGTCTGGTCAAGAACAAGCTTCTCAAACTTCAGTTCACCCTCGTAGATATAGCCAGTGTCGCCCTCTGCGCAGGACACGGTCACCTTGTCACCTGCGACACAAATCAACGGAGTTCCATGTCTTGTTGGCAATCATGAACTTGCACACTTCAGGCAGAATAGGAATGAAGTATACCAGCACCACCCAAAGGGTGGTTAAAAGCCCCCGTGAAAATGCATTGTCCATCCAATAGCCACCCTTTGGGTGGTGTTGGTATATAAATATATGACTGAAACCACAAGCGATAGCATCAGGTCAACAAACAGAACGGACCTGCTTGGCCGGACAAAACATATCATGTAACATTCATTAATCATTAATCAAGAAACATCTACAAACGCACACTAACATACCCTCCAAAAATGAAATGATGTCCACTAGTGCATCTGGCATCTGCCATTGAAGAAAGAAGTGAGAAAGGTATAATCCTCCAAATCAATCCACTCGACTCGCCACAGTCGCCTTTGCTCACCTTGTCCGTAGCATCGCCACAGCCCACGATGGCCGGAATGCCCAGCTCGCGCGCGATGATGGCGGCGTGGCAGGTGCGGCCACCGCGGTTGGTGATGATCGCACCGGCCTTCTTCCTCAGGCCATGTGATGTTTTGGTCAATGGGAAGTAGCCAAAATGAGTTGTTTGTTTACCCTTCAGAAGAGCGGATGGTCCGGTGCGGTCACATCAACACTGGGCACACGGTGTGCCGCACACCTGCCAATCAGCCAAGTCCCCAAATTGCATGCATCGTGCAGCACTGGTCGCTAGTCATTTCATGCCCGATCATGCCCCATCATGACATTCCGAAAGGGCTGCGTGTAAATTGCGACGGAAACCGGTGTTTTTTGCGACGGTAGGCCGAAATGTTTTTCAAAAGTGATCGTGGAGTTCGTTGCGCGATCAAAAGTTCAAGGAGTGTTTTTTGCGACGACGTGTTTTTTGCAACGATTCTTTTTTTGCCACGGTGTTATTGTTTTGGTTGGACAAGCCACCAAGGAGTGGGAAACACGGAGTGTTTGGTGTGACAGTGTGTTTTTTGCGACGGTGTGTTTTTTTGCGACGGTGTGTTTTTTGACCTCGAAAATATGACCGTCGCAAAAACACCTCGAAACTATAATAGGACCGGTGCAAAAAACACCTTGAAGCTAGGACCGGCGCAAAAAACACCTTGAAGCTAGGACGGGCGCAAAAAACACCTTGGAGCTATAGGACCGCAAAACACACCTTGAAGCTAGGACCGGCGCAAAAAACACCTAAAGCTAGGACGGGCGCATAGGACCGGCACAAAAAACACCTAAAGCTAGGACGGGCGCATAGGATCGGTGCAAAAAACACCTTGAAGCTAGGATCGGTGCAAAAAACACCTTGAAGCTAGGACCGGCGCAAAAAACATCTTGAAGCTAGGACCGGCGCAAAACACACCTTGGAGGTAGGACCGGCGCAAAAAACACACTGTCGCAAAAAACACTAGACAAGTAGGAATAACACTACTGTTTGTAATTACGCGGAAAGAATCGACGCAAAAAACACCTCAAGTTTGGACAAGCGCAAAAAACACACTAGACAAGTAGGAATAACACTACTGTTTGGAATTACACTGGTTTCCGTCGCAATTAACACACGTCCCTTCCCGGGCTTCCCAAAAACATGCAAGAACCTGTCCAGAACACCATGTGATGTCCAGAACACCCGTAGGCCCCGGAAGTACAAATAGAGGTGTCAAACCACCCCAAATGTTCGGTGTTCTACTTCCATGCCAGTGTGTTGGAGGCCAACCCACCTGCCCCAGCTGTCCCCGTATGTTGCTCCATGCGCTCCATGCGGTCCATGCGGCATGATGGGCTCCCAGTCGGGGTCCGTCATGTCGGCCACCAGCACTTGGCCCTCGGAGAACTCGCTCATCTGATCGATGCTGGTCAGGATGTTCACCTGGACCCGGTCCATGTCGGTGCACCGAAAGCCGAAGGCCAAGTGAATGAGAACGCGCATAATAAGTGCTTGACTTAATTTACAATTCATGTATCATGGTTTACATATAGATTCTGTTGATCTGTTCAAACTTCACTCGTATGATGACTCTAAGTGGTTTGCAACACGATCAAACTTCGATAATGCTGATTTGCTTGCCAGTGGTACTCTGATAAGAATATTCGAACCAGTTCATAGCTAGGTTTGCAAATCTCTGTTGAAGGGCTGGCTTCCTCTTGATTTGACTCCACAATTGGCTCCAACAAAATCGTGACAAAGTCCTTGCTTGCCCAACCTTGCTCAAATCTGCTCTCGAATGTGGTTAACACATTGAATGCAGTGTTCATTGATGGATCAGGACAACAAAATTCTCTGTTGACCGCGTTACAGGCCAGCCTTATAGCTAGCACGCGGTGTCCAGTGAAGTGGGTGATATAACCAATCTAGCTTTGCAGAGATTGACAATGCAAACGGAAAGCCAGCGTTATTCAACCTCCATGTCAATCTAGGCAATTGAGAAGCCTTGTCTCCGGAAGCATGGTGGCTGGCAGTCCCATCCAGTTCCTAGTTTTACTGCAAGAGTTCGAATGGTTGGCACCGAGGTACCGCAGAACCGATTCGCAAACCCAAACCGCCTCACCACTACCAATGCGCTTGCCAACTGCACGCCCTTCAGCAATTTTGGTTCCACCTCAGCGGCTGCAAACCACACACACACATGCGGTCACATGTTCACACGTTGCACAGCTTCAAGCAGTTTTATATTGTCTACCATACCATACTAGGTGTACCTGAAAAGTCGATATTTAATGAACTGTGCTTTCTGAGGCCCCCCGCCTTTCTCTAACATTTTGTACTCCTCAATGACACCCACCTTTTTCTGTGAAGCCACCGTCTCTGGTCGAGCCTGCACAATGTAGAGCTTCCCATCATCACCATCGCGAGCCCACTCAATGTCCTTCCGAGACAGCTCAATCAGAATTCACTCGGAGACTTGTCAAGTTGCAGGCAATCACTCAGGCAATATTACATTGAGTCAAGTTGAAGGCAATCACTCGAGTGTTTCTGAACACTTCGCTAGATTTCTAATATCATAACACCTGGCTTACAAAAAAAGCCTATGTAGCGCTTACGTGAGCATAGTTTGAGCTTCCGCTGACGGGCTGCTTGCGCCACTGCTTACGCAACCTTACGCCGCTGGAGTTTTTGCTTACTCGCCTCGATGTGACATTACTAACACCTTAGTGTGTCGGGATTATGCCAAAGTTTGTGCAATACTTACCAGACTGATCGTAGTTTTATCTGCAGGATCGTGCAACAAGGTTCCTCGATTGGAACACGAGACCTCGACATGTTCCTCGAGACCAGGATCTCTCACTTCCATGAATGCTTCATGATGTTCTCCTGATTCACTTCACTTAAAATTCCCATCTTCACATGCCTTTCCCAATCCAAAAAGTCTCCACATGCCCAGGAGGTCCATGGGTCGTCCATAGTGCTTCTCGATCTTCACAGCCATCTCTGCAAGAGCCTTCACCTCTTCATCGGAGGCAGACCAGCTATTCTGCTCCTCATCGCTGGTGTCCACCGTTTCCGATCCACCGCCAGCCTGCCACACGGACGCGCTCCGAAAAAAGTAATGGATCCTCATTATGGGACCAAGAAAAGAACTTCAAGACTAGACCCATTGGCTGAAGAACTTGAAAGACTTAACCTGATGGGGGCTGAAGACTTAACCCATGTGTCCATTGGCTGAACTAGTTCCCCAATTTATCTCTACTGGCTGGGCCGCGCTGTCCCTTGACTCCGGCCGAGCTTGGCCGAGGTGTTTCTTCGGACACCTGGAGAAAAGAAGCGATGTGTCCCTCGTAGCGAAGACAGTTTGAACACGTGTGAGGCTCCTGGAACATCCTGGAACCAGGTGACCAGCAGGAAACAAAAATCAGCTGAAGACCTCCACTGAAGACCTCGAAGCGAGATGGACGAAGCCGCACACCTTGTAGATCATCTTGCACAACTTTGATCCCATGGTCCGAGAGATGATGGAGTTCTTCCCTTCGGCCAAGGTGGGCTTGAAAACATACCTCAGCTGAGCGCTGAGGGGCTGAGTGGCTGGGCTGGGCTTTTCAAAGTCCTTCCAGATCACACATGGGTTCAGAACAGCACCAGGAGAGCAGCACCAGGTGGGAAGGGAGAAGAGAGTAACTAGTCGTCTTCCTCATCAGTTGGACATTTTCATGGTATGTCTTAAGAGTAAGACGAAGCTTGTAGGAATCGTGGTCCCAAGCAAGAAAGAGTCCAGCAGATTGGCAGAAAGAGTTCATGAGATTCCTACAAGCTTTGTCTTACTGTAAAGACAACCATAAAAAATAATGTAAAAAAAGAACCAACTGATGAAATCTGGCTGTCATTGTAGCAAACCCATGCAATAACATGTTTTACCACAAGCTCACAAAATCCCACAAGCCTACCCGTCTGAGTTCCATGAACCAAATCGGCTTGTATAGCTGACTGAGTTCAACCCGCCAAGGCACCATTCATCCGGATTCACCGTGCCGCCCACCACGGTCTCGCCCAAGCCATAGGCAGAAGTCACGAAGACCACGTCCTTGAAGCCGCTCTCCGTGTCTAAGGAGAACCTGTCAGTGTCAACCACCGATGGTGTGGAATGCACTCAGGTCTTAAGGCGTCATAGAATGAACAGCATGTTTGTCTCTCCCTTGATCCAAGAAGGTCTGTTTTCATAGGGTTCACCTGGATGATCCTTGGATATATATATATACCCCTTAGCAGGCCAAATTTGGTCTTGGACCCTTGGATGAAGAAACCAATCCTCCCTTTGCTGAGGTCACCTGCCTGTTTCAAAAGCATTCTTGAGGAGCGCATATGTTTGCCGCTTTAGCCTAAAGTTGTTGCCTGACACTAGAGATTGTCACTGTGACCTTCCATTCCAAAAAACTCTCAATCCATTCTCCCACCAGTCCACCTGGGGCTCCAAGCATCACTCCAGCCGAGCCGGTCTCGCTGCGCACCATCTTTTGGCAGGTCGCGCAGAGCTGAACCTTCTCGTGCTCGAAACCTAGCGACAAGAACACGTCCAGCGAGCGCAGTGCATCTCGTGTCCCAGGTCGAAGGATCTGAAGAAACGTCTTGTCTTGGCCGTGCGTGTCGGGTCTAAAACGCGCCAAGACACAACACACCTCATCACACCTCTTGTCTTGGCAAAGTGTGCATAAATCCTGGAGTTAAGTCAAAACATGTCAAACCCTTCACATGTAGACCTTAACAATCCAGAAAAATAAATGCCAGATGATAGTAATAATAATATGTATTCATTCGATTCATATTTCTGGGGACTCTAATTTTTGGGTAGACCAACAAGGTGAGCAGCTGTTTATGCAATATTATGCATTCCGTTTCACCCTGGGACACAATCTTGCCTCTGTCATGACGGTAGGAGATTGCACGGTCGGTGAAAAGGGAGGCGAAGACCAAATGCACCTTCTGTTTCATGTCCTGGACGCAAACAGGAACAGTGACTCACTGAATAACAGCAGCAGCATCTGCCAACACTGAAGCAAACAACACCATATAACACCTTTGCCTTTGCCGGTACCTCCTCTCACAGACTTATTGAGAACAAGCAACACAAAACCAGCAAACTCTTGCAAACAGCACAACACTACAGATTTCCCCGTCTCGGGGTATTCGGATGAATTCGTGTATTCTCTGCTGGTCTTGTCCCCAACACGCGCCACCGGCCGGCCACATCAGTCAGTCCCATCCAACACTTCAACCATTCCATCTCAATCCCAATCAATCCCACCACCCGATGTGGTGTGCTGGACGTCCTCATAGCCCATGACGTTCAGGAAGGTCTCCTGCTGCCCGGCGAAGGAGGCGTCCGGCAGGTCCTCCGCGGTGGCCGAGGAGCGCACGGCGAAGGTGAATTTCTCGTCGCCGCCGGAGACGCGCTGCCACTGCGCCTGGGGAGGAAACGGGCACCCTGGCAGAAGGGTTCAGGTCTGAAGGTGGCAGGTCTGAGTAGTTCAGGAACTCGGAGGTCCAGAAAACACCACTCAGCGATTTTGTACCGGAGACGAGACGATGGCTGCGCAAGAAAAATGGAGTCTCTACCGTTGCTGCTCTGGCTGTTTGATGTGCAAACACTTCTGTTCAGAGACCAAACAATAGATTACAAAATCCAAAAAAAGTAAGCCAAGAGTCCTTGAGCTCTTCCTCAAAATCTTCTTGAAAAGGAGTGTCCATGATCTTGTCTCTGATCTCTTTGCCCACCTGCACAGCATGTTTCAAAAACGTTCTAAAACTAGACTTGAGATTGCTGGCAAACTGCTTCCAGGCTTGCTGTGCATCCGTTGATTCATGAGCTTGTCGATACCTTCATGAGCTTGTCAACATCTTCATAGATGGACTCATCAGAAAGCTTGTCGTTGATGAACTCATTGATGCCACCTCACGTGAACAGCTCGCAGGTCGTTGGGACGCGAAGAACATCGCATTCAAGAGTCAGCTGCCCATGTTTCTGCACGCGATCTCAGGAAAACCACTTTCAGCAAAACCCAGGAGTAGCATCACTTCAGGTGAACAAGGAGTCAGCTATGCCTGACATTGACAAGTACAGACCATGATAACAATCTCTCCATGTGCAACATAAACCTCACGGTGTGGTACTGAACCTGACGGTGTGGAGTTTCTTGTTCGCTGGCCTGCCTTTGTCGAGAAACTCCTTGTAGGCAAAAGCCGTGGTGCTAAAACCGCCTCAATGCAACGGCAGCTTGTCAAAGGTCATGATTATGAGGCGCTTAACCATCCAGGTTCACGCCCTTTAAAAGGGATGAAACTGATGTAACATCATAAAACCACCATGTTTTTCCCCATTTGCCCCTTGGGAGCACTGTCTCACAAAACAGCCCCACCTGCCTGGCACTGGCACGCCCACATCGGAGAGCTGCGAGATCATCTCACCCAAGGACGCGCTCTTGCCGCCGACCTTCTCCACGTCGGTGTTCCGGAGCTCCTGGACCGTTCCGGGTGAGTCGCGGCGGAGCTTGACCAAACAAAAAGAGGTTGTGATGATGCTAATGTCCAGATCTTAAGCCAAACCATAGCCCAACTTGAGTGACTATGTAGTGCAGAAAGTTCAATTTGCAAATTCGTTTCTGGTCTTCTGTATGAAGAAAATACAAACAGAATCCTTGTGCTACATCCAAGAAGTACGGGCACTCCTCCAAAGGAATGCAAACTCGGGTGTCTTCCTCACCCCCTCGTGCGCGCAAGGATACCACGGATTTCTTGGACTTCTTGCTGCGGCGCGCAGATGCCCCTGCCAGGCTCAGCAGACCGAGACCTGCCACCGCAACCGGCGCTGCGCTGGGTACCGCGCGTGCTGAAGATGCCGCGCTGCGAGCTGGCGCAGTGCTGGAGGCGCTGGAGGTGCGTGTCATTGAGCTGCTGGGCACCTGCAAGTTGGGCATTGCTCCCAATTGAATGATGTCTTTCCCCAAACACCTTCCTTGAACCCTCCAGGTGTTCGCTGAATGCGCAGTGTAATTGGTTTGAAGAAAGAAACAGGCCTGACCTGGGTCGGTCCGTCTTCCCTTTTCGATGCTTTTCGCCTGTGGTGCCACAAAGCCCAGCCCCACTGCACCAGCCGCTGTCACTGCGAGAGCAGCACAGGTTGATCCGCGCATCTTGGAGTGAACCACCATGAGGGCCTCACGTCACAACTAAAGGCTTAGAGTGACTAATTGGCTCAGCGCAAGTCAAGGTGGACACCCGAAACGCATCCACACCCAAGATCAAACTGGAAGGCGCGTACAGTAGAGGCTGCAAATTCTGAAGAGATATGTTGCAGATTGTGGCAGAGGTGATAGTATGTGAAGTCCATCCGAAGTGATGGACTCTTGGTCTCACTAGTCACTATAGGCGGCTTGGTGAGTGGCTACATGAGGTATCCAAAGAACCTCAGCAGCTTTGTCATCATCGAGGTGCCAATGGCCATGTCCAAAATGATGAATGCAAGTATATTATTGTGGATCCCACAGCCCGCTTCAAGCCCCGGCACCTTTTCCAAACATGGCTGCAAAACGAGCCTGCACGAGTTGGGTGGTAGCTACGGCCCCTATGGTTTGGGCATGAAAGCACCGCCATCATTGGGATCAAGCATGGTCGTTTCCATGTCTTTCGTTTCACAGTTCCAGGGTTTTTCTTTGATCCCAATTCGGCGGATCTCTGAGCTGGTCTGACCCGCTTTGCGGGCTTCTGCTCTGCGCTTCATTTGCTCCTCTGTGGGGCGTATGCTGAAGCGTCCACTTCGGATCAGCTCATACAAGGCCACATTCGACCCGAGGACTTTTGTGAGTCCATCAGCCGGCATGGCTAAATGGTCCACCCACTTCACTTCGCCACCAAGCTCTCTGAGGTCCTGGCGGATGATCTGGATCTCGATTGCCGTCCTCTTATCTTGGCCACCGATGGTGTCCTTGGACAGCAGGTCGAACAAGGACTTTGCGTCCACCACTGCCAGAGACTCTTTCAGCTTGCCCTTGTCGAGCTCCGAGGCCATCACCAAAAGCTCTTCCCCTTTCAGCCTGGACCTCCAGGCTTTGATGTTGAACTTCCCGTCCTGGAGTTCCTGAACCATGACCATGATCCAGAGTAGCTCAGCCAAGCCGCGGGACATGCTCTGTGTCTCTGCCGCTAGCGTCGAGTTCACGACGCGTTGAAGTTTTCCGCTTCGCCAGGCCAGGATGTTGGTGTCCACCGAAGCTCCGTCTCGCAAGTGACTCTCGTGTGCCAGCACCAAATGTCCCCCTTGGGAGTGGAAACCATGGTTGGCGAACGAGGCGTCCGTCACAACGCTCAGCCGCATCTTGCGGAGTGGTTGTATCTGCAGGCTCAGCTCGGAATTTGCCTTCAGCTCTGTCACCACCTGGTTCATCTGGTTGATGTCCTCGATGCACAATTTGGACAACTTGGATGACAGCAGGCTTGAAGGTCCTGAGGCATCTGGTCTTCCTTCGCGGCTCAGCCAGTTAAGGGCGCCGCAGGTTGCCCGTGCGGCACTCACCTCATCGTCGTTTGCCATGGCTTTCTTGTCGGTTTTCCGCCCCTTTTCCAGCGGCACTGGGTGCAACCTCTCCTGGATGAACTTCTGCATGTCGACCAGAAAGCCACCATCTTTTCTCTGGCGGATCCTGCGCCCATTGAAAGCGCATCCATCCGACTCATGACGAAGTCGGACGTATTTCCCGAAGGTGTACTTCTTCTTGAGCTGCTCCATCTTCTTGTGGTGCTCGTCGTGACCCACAGTGAAGAGGTCGTCGACTTCGATCGCTATTGCCCCCAGCAGCTTCTTCCGTGTGCTGTCGTAGAGCTTCATGATGCAAGGATCCAGTGCGGACATTTCATAGCCCAGCTCCTTTAGATCATCAGTGAGCGATTTCCTCCAGTGAAGGGGAGCGTCCACCAGGCCGTAGCAACCAGCGATAATCATGACTATCTGGTCCGGGTGCAGTCCGACCACGCCTTCCTTGGGCTGTTGGAAATAGAGCTTTCCTTTTGGCCTGTCCAAAGGGCGACTTTGGCAGAAGGCATTCTTCAAGTCCCCGACCGTGGCCTCCATGTTCTCATTGGCCGCAATCTGCAAGAGCACCTGGAAGTTCACGGTGTTCAGGGTCGGCGAGAACCTCTCAAGGTCCAAGATGTCAGGGTCGAGGTCTCCTCGGATGCACAATCGGGACTTTTTGACCGCCGGTTCTCCAGGTTGCTCTCCTGGCTTGTATCTCCTTGCAATCTTGGTCGGCAAGATTCGGTCTTCTTGACCTTGCTCCTTCAACTCCCGTCGGACTCGTTGAGACTCTTCTAAACCCAGAACCTGCACCGCTCCACTCTGAGTGACCTTGTTCCACTCGGACAGGTCAGAGAGCTTCCACTCTTCTTGGTCTTGTGGAGTTTCCTTGGCGATGTTGACTTCGTCTTGGCCTTTCTTCTCTGCCAGGTAGTGCACGGTTTCCTTGAGGTTCTTGATGTGGAACACGGTTTTCCCTTTCCACCAGTTCTCCTCAGCTTTGGTTTCTGGGTTAGTCCATTGGTCCTCCTTCACCCCTTCTTGGCCCTCTCTTCTCACATGCGTTTGCCGCTTTTCTGAAAGGAGGTTCACGGGGATCGGCATCTCGCTGCTGAACTTCGGATCGAAGTGGGCTTTTCTCTTCTTCACATGGTGCCTCACGAGTTCCCCTTTTGTCAGGTCTAGGCTCCAATGATCACGATCTCGCCTTTCTTCTTGTAGAGCTCGGAGACGATGCCTTCGTGCTTGATCTTGTCCTTCTTGCCATTCATCATCCTCCTCCAGGTACCATTCCGCCGTCTCGAAGTAGGGGCCCAAGTCATCATGCCTTCCTGCTCTTTGCTGCCAGCGATAGATTGGGCCGGTTCTTGGACCCGGGACCCCGTCCAGCCTGTTTGCTTCCACCTCTGATCTTCTCAGGGCTTCTTGAACTCCTGGGTCGAGAGCGTTCACCGGTGGCAGTTCGAGAGGTCTTGACGGCAGAGGCGGTGTTTCTGGTACTCCTTCAGGGAAACCTGGATGATGTTTTGCCTCTAAGTCTTCGTCTTCACTTCCCCCTTTGGATGGAGGAGCTTCTTCTTGCTCTGGTTCTGCCACAGATCTCCTTCTCTTGGGAAGTCCTGGATGCCCTTCTGGTGGATCACGAGGTGGTTCTTCTTCGTCTGGGTACTCAGGCGAGTATTCGTCCATGTCGATGTGATCCTGGAACCTGGTCCTCTGCTGCCGCACGGCTGGGTTCTCGAAGTCTGCGTTCTCTTCTGCTCCTGCCGGTTCTCCCTCCGGAGGGAACTCCTCCGCGGTGATGTCCTTGTAGCCCGCTCTATGTGACCCTCTTTTGAACTCTTCAATAAGCTCTTGGCACTCCTGGACCACTGCCTCGATGCCTGTCTTCTCATCATTGGTGGCGGGCCGACATTGTTCGCGGGCGACTTTCCATAGTTCTCCCATCATCGACACCCATAAATTGGCTCCATCAGGAGCAATCACGGTGCCCGGGCCGACCCATCTGGCCTTGGTAGTTGCCAGGGCGTCATCAGTGATTCCTCCATGCTTTCTCTTCTTCAACCTGGGCACTCTGAAGACGAACACGTACTCTCCGGGCTTGTAGTCGACCCAGATTCTCGGTCTGGCTCGCAGAGCTCGCTTCATTGTGTCCTTGGCGTTGTACTCACAAAAGGCCTTGTGGGCGACTGTCCGCATGTGGTGGAGGCGCTCGATGTCATCGGTAATCACCCCTTGAAGCAGCGTTGGGTCGATGGCCTCATCTGAGAGTATGGACGTAGGTAGCCGCGGCCACTGGCCGATCTGCCGCTGGATGGGAGCGAAACCGGATCTATTTGAGTACCGGTTCTTGGCCTGTTCCACCTCTGTCATGAGCTGCTTCAGGTCCTTGATGTTCTGCACGACCACCTCGCTTCTGGCTTTGTCTAGCAGCTCTTTGAAGTGACCTCCGTGGCGCTCTGTCTTCCCTTGTTGCCATGGGGCTTTGGAGGCTATCTGATGCACCACGATCCCTTCGGCAGCTGCCCGCTGAATGAACTCTCCGAGGAACTCACGGCCGGCGTCGCAGGTGATGACCTCTGGGTGCCCGAACGTTCTGGCCCACGTGGAGAGGTAGGCGTCCCACACCTCATTGGGGTTCTTGCCGGCGATGACTTCGCACATCTGATAGTTGGTGCCCCAATCCAGTATGTTCAGTATCGGTGTGGTCTGTTTGCCATCTCCTGGAGCCGGGACGTAGAACAAATCCAGGCCAAGGACTCTGTTGGGCTGATATGCCCGTGGCAGCGCGGTCGGCCGCGGCGCCTTGGGATGCCGCTTGGCTTCGCACACGTCACAAGTGAATTTCTTGGCCGCCCATTGGACCACTTCTCCGCGGACTCTGGCTGCTCGAAGAAACCGGACGAATTCCCTCTGCTGGGGATGCCCGACCGCACGGTGGACTTTCATCACGGCCCTCTTCTCCTCCAAAGTGGGCTCATAGTCGTCAGGCCCTTCTTCTTGGGCAGGATCGACTTCTTCTTCTTCTTCTTGTGCCTCCTCCTGCTCTTCTTCCATGGCCCATGCGGTGATATCCTTCGTCTTCAGGTACTGAACAATGCCTCGGGCCACCGCCTGACATAGCTGGTCGGGATATCTCTGTGCCAACTTGGGCTTTCCTCCGTCCAGGTGCACATGGTGGTGACTTCCGTCGCATCGGAGGTTCAACTCATCAATGACCGGAAGCATATTGGAGAGCCATCTGGTCCTCTTCCGGTTGAGCCCAGTTCCGTCAACGTTCAGCCCGAACATGCATTGGTCGCACACCACCGTCTTGATGTTGTGGTGAGCTGCCAAGGCCTGGAGTTCCGGCTCTTGCCACGAAGTTGCTCCGTCGGGGTGTTCGAAAAGGATTCCTCCTCCTCGTCTCAACTGCCATTTGAGCACTGCGATGGCCAAGTGTAGATGTTCTTTTCCAGCTTGAAGCATGCTGACCCGCTTGGCCGTAGACATTCTACCCCAGTTGATCACCTGCATCCGACTGAAGGCAGTGCATGGCGGACAGGCCAGAATCACCTCTGGCCGCTCTTCTCTCAAGCTCTTCCACATAGCCCTGCGTTGATGGGGGTCGCTCAAGTCCCAGTTGGTGACTAGGTCGTAGCTCGGGCCCACTTTGAGTCCCATCTTTTCCAGCAGAGGCGAAATTCTTGGAGGGCTGTAGACTTCCGCCATCGTCACTTTGAACTTGTCCTGGTTGGCCTTGAGCGCCTTCTCTATCATCTGCCGGTTCTTGCGGCTCAGCTGAGTGGTTTTGGCTTCTTCCCACTCGTCTTGGAATGTTGTTCTCCGAGAAGGGCGGAAGTTCACATAGACCTCGGTTTCCTCTTTAGGGATGATCCCATCCCGCTTCACCAGCTCGCCGTCTTGGAGGACCCAGTAGTGCTCCTCGATCAGGTAGTATGGATCTTCTCCTCGTTGGGCGCGTCGTGCCCAGCGCTTTGCTCTGGCGTTAGAACACCTCACAAGAGCTTCTGGTTGTTCTAGCCCTCGAAGTCGTCCACGTCCACCACCGGAACGTCCGCCGGGCTGCTGGTTATCGACACCCTCGACCAGTGGGAGTATGGTGTCGAGCCCGGGACCGCCGCTGGAGCTGCCGCAGGGGCCTCCCTCTTTGGGCTTTTGGACCTCCTCGGATTCAGTGATGAAGCCGCCGTCTTCGCATCGTCGATGTCCGCCATCTCGGCCTCCGGGATCCATTCGAAGAAGTCGCATCGCCTCTGAACGCACTTCCAGAACATGCGACCCTTCCGAGGCCCTTCTTTCTTGACCACTAAAGCTTCCGCCGGCTTGCCGCATAAGCAGTTCTGGCTGACCTTGGGTGGCGGAGATCTTCGGGAGCTGGCTCTTGGATCCTGCTTCGACTCCGGGGTGAGCTGAGCTTGGATGAGCATTTGCATCAGCTTCTCTTGGCGAATTTCCTGCTCCCGATTGGCCACTGTGGCCCTTTTCACCTCCTCCGCCAGGTACTGCATCTGGCTGGCGTTCAGCTGGGAGAGTTGGATGGTGTTGGCCGCCTGCTCGTTGCGGAGCTGTTGCATCATGATTTGGACGTGGGTGTCCAGCTCTGTCCTCAGGTCCTGTTTCACCGACGTGATACTCTCGGGCTCGGACCCGGGTGTGAGTGGCAGTTCCGCCATGCGTCCCTCGCTCCTCATGGGCGTCCTTGGTGTCGGAGAGGTTGTAATCGGCGCCCTCGGTGAGGTAGTTTCCTTCTTCTTCGAGGTTCCGCTCAAGGGGCCGTGCTTCAGCTTCTTGTGGATGTCTGATGCTCTTTCTCCATGGGCCCACCTGGAATGGCACGCTCGGCATACGATGTACGAGCTCGATCCGTTGCCACCACCCTTCAGGTTCATCTTGGGGTGCACACAGGCGCTGGCGGAAGTGCTCGGTGTAGCCTTGCTCTGAAGTGGCTTCAGGGGCATGGCCGTCAGGATCACCTCGGCATAGTAGTCCTCGATGGTCTCCATATGCTTGCGCCCCGGCCGCGGCGAGGCTAAGTCCAAGCACCACGCTTCTGTGGTATCTTGGAGCGCTGCGAGTACCAGGAGGATGCCGATCTTGTCCATCACCACTCGCCAATTGCGAAGTGGTACTCGGGGATTTGGAACTCGATGCCCAATTTCCATCGGAACGGGGTCCGTGGAAGGTGAAGCGCCCACCAATGCCTTTGCCTTCTGAAGGAGCGACGCCATGGGAAGTAGGTGGACGTTGGGCGTCTTGGGGCAATCGATCGAATTGGCGTGTCAGCTCGAGTTGAGCCGGCATTGCTGAAGTCGCGAAGCATGAAGATCTCAACTCAAACTCTTCTTGTCGACCGGCTTCAGGCGGCACACAAAAAACTCCACTTGCAAATGACATGACATTCACTGTGACATGGCCACTGGCTAGTTCATGCAATGGGACCGACACGTTGTGCGACGGAATGTGCATGTTCATGCTCTTCAAATCGATGAGGACTTGGAGGGCCTTCAACAACCGCACCGGCAACAGCAAAGGAACGTCCCCTTGAATTACAGTGGTCTCCAAAACTCCATTGATGCCTCCGATGCCCACCGGGATCAATGCAACCCCCTCGACCACTGCCGTTCCCCCTACACCCTTTGCTGTAGTTTGCTTTGGCACCCACTTGATGCGAAGCCCCCGAGTCGACAGTTCACGTTCGAGTCGAAGGAGGAGTTCCAGGCCGATCAAACCGCCTTCAGCGGCAGTGTCCACGACCCCCTCTATGGCTTTGGTGGTAATCCCACAAAACTGGACGTCACCCTCGGCGGTCGTACATGCCCGCTCCATGTATTGCTCCGAGGATTTCGCTGCCGACTTCGAAGCTGGTTCACCCTCTTGGGCTCGCTTCTCCTTCACAAATTGCCGCAGCCAATATTGATGCTGCGAATCGGAAAAACTCTGGCTCTCAGGGTGTAGTCCAACAAAGAAGGAACGTTCAGGCCCCTTCTCCGTCGCAGGAGGATTCTTGCACTCCTTCTCCCAGTGGCCGATCTGAAGGCACCTTCTGCACCTGGTCCGAAGCTTCAATTGTTCGATGTGGACCCGGCGCTTTCCTTTGTCTTTGCCCTTCTGGAAGCCGTTGATCTTGCCCTTGCCCTTGCCGGGGAAGTAGCCGCGGTTGAGCCTCTGGTCCTTCAGTGCCTGACGGGTGTCATTGTAGGCAGCCAAGGCGCTCAGAACGTCTTGTTCGTCCATCACTTCATCCAAGTCACCATCGGCCAGGAAGACGTAGTTCTCATCGTCGTCCTCCCAGTCCTGGTAGCCGGACTCCTCCGGCTCATAGTGGTGGCCCGCCGCATTCTCAAGGATGAAGGTCTCTTCATTGAGGTAGGCGCTCCGGCTCTTGTCCTTCTCCTTGAGGACCTTGTCCATACGCCGCAAGGCGACGGTGATCTCCGTGCGCCCATACTTCCCCTCGGCCCAGGTCAAAAGCCGCTGCTCCTGTGATTCGTTGAGGGAGGCTTGACGGTATAAGATGTACCCCCGAGCTCCGTCCGGAAGGTCCACTCCCTCTTTGGCGAGCACTGCAAATGCTCGCTCCATGCGCTTGGTGTACTCGCCGAAGGACTCCTTGCTCCCACGAGGTGGTCCATAAACAGCGGCCTCAAAGGCCCGAGGCAAGGAAACTTCCAGGTGTGGCATGAAGTAGTCCCTCAACTTGTTCATTACGTTCTTGACTCCATGCTCTGTGGCGATGTCTGCCACCTCCATGTCATCGACTGCGGTTGCTGCCGTCCCAGACAGTTGCCGCAGTAGTTTCACTCCTCTCTTAGCCTTAGGGATCTCGGTCTCGAACTCCCATAGGGCTATCTGCTTCTCGAACTGCCTGAAGGTCACCTCGGGATTCTCTCCGTCGTAGCTCGGCGGAGGGTCACGGTCTCGAGGTGCTTGGTCAGCTCGTCCACTAGGATTGCCGCCTGCGCTAGCTGCCGCGAAGCTGCCTGACCTCGTCGGCCCACGCTCATCCCCACTCATGCCTATGCTCGAGCGCCCAGGATCAGGAACCTGGCTCCGCGGTACCACTGTGGATCCCACAGCCCGCTTCAAGCCCCGGCACCTTTTCCAAACATGGCTGCAAAACGAGCCTGCACGAGTTGGGTGGTAGCTACGGCCCCTATGGTTTGGGCATGAAAGCACCGCCATCATTGGGATCAAGCATGGTCGTTTCCATGTCTTTCGTTTCACAATTATGTGCATTTATGGGCCTTTAAGATCCTTTCAGAGCCTCTACCAGCATCAGTCCTTTAGCAGAATGGGCATTATATTGAGATCGACCCTACCTGCGGAGCCTACCTTACATCTTCGATGGCTTCTTTGACCAAAAAGTACCGGGCTGCTTTGAGGCACTTGGTTGGACGAAGTCGTTTCTATGGAGACTTGCGGTGGCAAAACGACAGAATGAGTGAACTGCTGCAGATTCCCTGAAATGCAAAAGGGCCATGTCAACCACGTCTATTAATTAGTCAAGGGGGTTCCAGGGGTGTCTGTGGATGGAGTGAAAAATAGTGAAAGGTGACTGTGTACAATCAGTTGGTGCGGATGGCTGCAGGTCATAAAAGGGTGTACAGTGGAAGTCAGTTTATGCTGGGCTGCTAGTGTCTCCTCGCACCAGTTCGCTAAGTTAGCAAAGCAACTGTACGAAGGCAGCAAAAGGCAAAGCGCTTGGCTGTGATCAGTGAATGGCTGAGGCAAATGAGGTCAATTGCATGAAGAATTGAAGAATCACACTGCACCTGACAAAAAGAAATTGTTGGGAGATGATCAAACATGATCAAACGAAAAGGATCTCTGTGAAACTCTAGCTCTAGCTTTGTTTGCGCCAAACAACTTTCAAACACCATCAAAATCCCACCGCATGGGTGTCCGACGCGAGCTTTTGAGGCCTATTCTTCTCATCAATTAGCCACTCAGTATATCTACTCCGCACTTGAGAAAATCGACCGCAGCATGTGTAGCCCCAAGGAAAATCAATATTTGCAATATGTTGTTTTGCATGAGCTGGTCATTTCTCCACAAACAGTAGTTGATACCGTACCGCAAAATCAACTCTTGAGCATCGTCTGTGATCATCGAATCTCCTACAATAGGTACCAAAAACATGGAAAAGTTAGTGAGGAAAAGAAGTGGCGAGAGAACCCTATATCATGCGCAAAAGGCAGTGAGACTCAGTGAGAACAACCAAAACCAAAAGCATCCACAATCAAGCGTGAAGCACCGCTCGGGTGATCTTTACCACGCTCAGGTCTCACAAGCCGCATTCTAACTTAGGAAGAACCCGAAGAGCCCCATAATAGAGCAAAACATGCAAAGACCTGCATGGTTGAAGCCTCGTCAGCGAATGTGAGCTGTTTGATGGTGTTTGGGTTGACCTACAAGACGAAGCACAACATCATTCAAAGGACGCTTCTTTGTGCACTTCATGCCGCCACTGTCGCAAGCTCCTGGATGATCATGATGCTTGTCGACCCAGGCGACCCAGGGTTGCGGTTTGATGGACAAGGTCTGTGGAACAGTCCATTCTCTTTTACAATCCATCCATCTTTGTTCCGCAAGATTGTGGAATGGATGTTAAACTATGATATACGGATATGTCTGGTGCCCTGCCTGCCATCTTGGCGTTTGGGGCACTCTCTGACATATGATTTGATTATATCTTATTGGCGTTGTTGTTGTTGTTGTTGCTGTTGTCGTCCTGGTTGTTGAAAAAAATGCCGCACCCCCAAAGTGCGGCGCTAAGCACTGGAACATGTTTCCCTTTCGTACGTGTCGATGATGCCATTTCTCTTTCAACCAATCAACTTCACGAATTTTGGTCTCGAACACCCAGCGACCCTAGTTGAACACCGAACAGCTCTTTTTCTGCGACATGTGGCAGAAAGACCCACACGGCAAACAGTCGTCGCGCACATTTCCCCGTTGGCGTCATCCAGCGGCAACACACCTGGTCCTGTCTGTCCCAGAACCACCCGGTCCTGCAGCAGCTGATCCACTCCGTCTCGAGTGAAGCGAAGCAAGGCGCACCCAGGAACCTCGCGGCTTCGCTTCCGGCGCAGATCATCGGTAGCACCATGCGTTCTCCGTGTTGATTCGGTGAAGCCCAAAATAGATCGTCAATAGAGGAGCGGTGTTGGGTTCTGGTGTTGGCCATTTTCGGTAAGATCAGATCTATCAACGCTAAAGGGGTGCATGAACGGTGCTTTGACCGTTTCGGCCTATTTAGCTAATACTGGTCTAGTCGATTGATTCCAAACCAACGAAAACAGTAAGATAGAGAGATGTCTGCAAAACTTCGAAATCTGGGCGCTCTTCGCTCACCAAGGAGATTATGGAAAAGGTCCAACTTAGGAACTTCACCCCATCGGTCCCTGCCGACCTCAAGACCTCGGCGCTTCAAACGCTGCTGGACATCTGCCAAGCGCGCCAAGCGCGGGGCGGGCGCCTGGGGCGCCTGGAGTGAGCAACGCGGGCAGAGTCCTGTTGTTCTTCTAACTTGCAGTCAAGAAAGCACAGGGTGCGCCCCAAACGGAAAGACTAAGAAGACGAACATCGAGAGTTAGTATTGAGCAACCCTCCAAAGCATTCTTTGCACCAGAGACACTGCATCAATAACATGCCATTCTTTTCACTGCAATTTCAGTTTTACAAATGAATACTGAATTCTTCAATCACGAGCTCTTAGCAGATCTTAATTAAGGCTTGCATAGGGCATAGGTTAATAGGTCGAGACTGTTGAAAGCAGCTCGAGGGCTGCAAGGAAGGAGTCGGATCGGAAGCCCCTGAACTGAACCGTCACCTGAAGTCGGCTACACACTTGGGAGGTAATCTCAGAAAAAAATCGCCTGCCTTACCAGTGTCTTGAAGTGGCAGTTTCCCAGTTGTTCACTTTTGTTGCACTGGGTTGTTCACTTTTCCTGTTCATCTGTTCCCCTCTTTGACTCACTTTTTGTTAGTATTCTCCACTACTAACTCCAGTTCCTTACAAAATAAGATTCTTACATGAACAAACTGTGGTCACTTCAACTTATAGCATGCGAAAAGTTGAGGACGAGTCTGTTCAGAACAATCAATAATCGGAATACAATCCGTGAAGCTCACTTGAGGTCTGATCCTTCTTTTTTCATTTGTCCTTTGCTTCCCCAAATGTGGAGGCACCGTCAGCAAAAACAAACCATCCTGGTCATTCCCGGCCTATCTACCCCTTCTATCAATGATGTCAACATGCATCAATCCAGCCAGTGGCACCTCTCAGACTTCTCGCTTCAAACACGTGGCACCTCCCTTTTGCGACCGCTTCTGCGTCTCGCCTCCGCACCCGCACCCGCACCGGCACGAGAAGCTTGGCATGTGCCCACGAGCAGCAGCTTCCGGACAGGCAGAGCGGCAACCGCATCGATGGCCTCCTGGGACCGGATCGACGGCCTCCATTGGAATGGAAGGTAGAGACACCAGGACCCTGCGTATGTGCGGATTTTTGATTGGTTTCAATGATGATGTTGGTTCCAGGATACAAAAGACTCAAACAATAGATGGTTCATGATGGTTGTGTGGTCCTTTGGATAAATTCACAGCACGTGAATTGTAGATCTGAATTTCACTCAAGGATCACACATCCCGCCTCGGGATTTTCCTTGTTTTCATGCCGGCGGCTCGCTCCAAAGATCCCTAACTGGACCTTGGTCTCCTTCCCTCGGACACGGCTCACTCCACCGGCGTCGGGTCCGGACGTCCTCCAGTCGATCCTCCGTCGTGCAATCCACGAAGAATGCAATGCACCGGACATCTTTGGTCCTTGGGCGCGGGCCACACCACGATGTCACGAAGACAGCAGCGCAAAGTAAGGGTCATGACTGATGCGAATCAAACAGGTCTCCACATTGGAAAAAACTTGACCCACTGTGATAGGTAGCCATTGAATCCTGTTGAATCAGCATGGCGCCAACAGTCGTTTGACAGAGGGTTTGCTTGCAGTGGTCTACAGAATCATAATCATGACGAGCATCACGTAGTGCTGCCAGTATTTCCGCAAAGTCCTTGGCTTGTTCGAAGACCTACACTGAACAGTCCATGACTCAAAATGAGAGCATGTTCTTTGCAGCAAGGCTTGCCTCAACAAGGCTCGGGAAAACCGGCGTCGGTGATGCAAGAAACACATGCAACACCATGGCGAAAACACTCTGGACAAAAGAGAACACAGCACACAAACATGGCATCACTGCGTGCTGTTGAACTGGACTAAAATGGTGCATCCTGGAGCAGGAGAGGTCGGATTTTCCCAGTCGATCGCCATACAAATCACCCTCGATCGCCTCTGTTGGCAAAGAACGTAGAACTTAGTGATGATGGTTGACCACGGAAAATGAACAGAATAGATTGCTAGCCATCTAGGCCCAAAGCCGAGTGGCTGAAGGTGTAGGGCCACCTAGGGGTGCTTGCCACCCTCGAAAGGTGGGTGCATCGTCCATCAAGCAGGACCGCCAACGGACTTGCAGCCCTGTCTTTGTGGAGTGTGCCGTGGTTCTGACTTTGTTGTGGTCTGGTGGCATCATGGGCTCACGTTTGATAGAGATGATTAGATCTAAGATTGATGATCCCTGGAAGCATAGCCTTGAGGAGCTTTTCATTTCCTTTGGTAGTGCTGGCCCCTTTGTTCGCATTGCTGGGAAAGTGCTTTTTAAGGCAGAAGTGCGTGACGTTTCAGGATCGTCGTTGTGGGTGCGGCCCAGAAGCTTTTCCCCAGGGAAGGGTTTTGGTTTCTCAGGAGAGGGAACTTGGGAGATCGTGGTGCCGGATTTGAGCTCTCGAGACTGGCATTTTCAACAAGGGGATGTTGTGACTTTCTTTGGAGGTTTAGTTCAGACTTACCCCAACCGATTCGACATGATGAAAGACACGATCATTGCGAATGTTCCAGTTTGGGAGCCGCGGAGTCCGATATCAGCGATCCACATGTTTTCTGGATCTTTCTGCGGTTGGTCACAAGCGCTTGAGGCGATCTGTAGATTTGAGCCTTTTCACGATGTTGCTCAGCAATTCTATGTTGACAGTGATCCCCGTACCATGCAGAATTGGGCCAACCAGTTTGAGAAGCCAGTGCATTTCGGATCGACTGCACCTGAGCACCCCTGGTGCCCCAGCTCTCATGTAGGACTATATGCTCCAGTGAATGACTGCAGTTTGTGCCATCAGATTCGAGTCCGCTCCAATCTTGTCGGAACAGCGTCTCCCCCTTGTGTGACATGGAGTAAAGGAGGTAAGGCTCAAGGCCTCAATTCCTCAGCGGGGTACTCGTTCATCGAAGCTGTTGTCCTTACTGTTATCCTGCAGCCCAATCTCCAAGTCTATGAATGCGCAGACGAGATCGTGAAGCACCCACACTTTGGACTTGTCTCCCATTTGCTGAAACTTTGTGGTTTTCGTAGGATCTGGCAACAGGTGGTCGAATATCATCCGATGTCCCACAACATGAGGAGTCGATGGGTGTCTGCATGGGCCCGACTTGATATGAACCCTGCATCTATTGTAGAACAATTCCAATTGAAAGCCTTGCAAGTGTGCCAATGGTCATCCAGTCTTTATGACTTCCCCCTCCCTCAGGATGTTCGAGAAAGCTTGCTTCTTTCCGAAGAGCTGCAACGATTGTATGGCAACCGTGGTTTGCTCCCGCCAGCCAAGAAGGCCAGGGTAGCGTCAGAT